ATTCTCGGCTTATATACCTCATGCACAGCCACCCCCATCTGTCCGTGGAGGCTTCTGAGTTGCTTGGATGCTGTGCAGGTTTCAGCAGAACATCTGGAGTAAGACTGTGAAGAAAGTCCTGGTGATTTACCGCCACAAAATAAGATGGTGAAAACTTTCTGGGTCTCACTGGTCAGATCCACAATTGGTTCTGGGGATGTACAGGAATGGGCAGCTTTTGTTCCCTGTGCATGGAGTCGTCATGAATTGGGGGGCCAACTTGTGGGCAGCTAACATTAGTGGAGTCCTGGTATCGCGCTCTAGGATACGCATTAGACTGCTAACTACAAGGTTGGTGGTTCAAATTCACCAGCCGCTCCTTGAAAGCCCTACACAGGGTTGCTGTGAGTCAGAATCAACATAAACAACATTAGTGAAATAATGATAGGAAAGGAAAGGTGGCTCCCAGGGACATTTCTGAAGTGAGCAGGTTGATGTCAGGGAGGAGGGTTGGTTGTGGAGTTTATGAAGTTGTGGATTGGCTTGGCAGAAAGACAAATCTGTCTTGGAAGAAGTTCAGCCTGACTCCTCTTTAGAAGCGAGGATGGTGTAACTTCATCTCACGTACTGTGGCCATGTTATCGGGAAGGACCAGTCCCTGGAGAGAGACAGCATGTTTAGTAATGTGGAGCCTCAGTGAAAAAGAAGGCTGCCCAGTGAGATGGACTGACACTTTGGCAGCAGCAATGGGCTCACACAACAGTTATGAGGATGATGCAGGACAGGGCAGTATTTTGTTCTGATGTGCTTAGCGTCACTGAGTCAGACTCAGTGGCACCTAACAACGACAATACAAGAAGAAAACTGGATGGGAGGCCCAGGTATTATGGAAAGAAATGGAAACCCAAGCCTCCAGCTCTGAGGTGGGAATGTGCATTGAGGATGTGGGGACTGCTTGGAAGATGACCTTTTCAAGGTGCTGAGTGAGATGGGAGGGGGAGAGGACAGGTGGATCTGTGAGGAGGAGGTGTGGTGGGGGAGGCTCAGGGGGCATAGTGCTTCCCCAGAACTGACCTCTTTGGACGGTACCTGTCCTGATCAGAAGGGTGTCTGACAATAACAAGCAGAAGGGCAGGTTTCCAGGTATGATTTACAATCCTGCATGGATTTCAGGGGGTGCTGTCTGAGTCTTCTCGCTCCATCAATTGCAGGTTCCTTACCGACTGTGAGCCAGGGGTCACACAATTCCATCAGGGCCACCAGTTATAAATTGAAAACCAGTGGGGTGCATAATGGAGCACCATCAAAATCCAGTCAGGTGCAAAACCAGATTTGAAAACCCCTCACCTTTCAAAACGACTCCTTTCCCTGATTCTTCACAATGCTCCCCCGTTGAGTTCTAAGCATCCTTAGAAATGCCTGTTGGAGACTGGAGGGGGCGGGGATGTCCAGGTGTCTTGCTGGAGTTTGTAAACGGGGTGAGTTAACATGTGGACTGTTTTGGCCCTTTTGTTATATTCCCAAAGGCAGAGGTTCTCAAATTTCATGAATGCAGTTGAATCACGTGGAGGGTTTATTAAAACTCCACTAGCTGGCCCCCACCCTCTGAATTTCTGGGTCTGCGGTGGGGCCTGAGAATGTGCATTTTTAGAAGCTAGCCTCGGAAACCCTAGACAGGGTCACTATGAGTAGGAACCGACTCCATGGTACTTAACAAAAACAATGGGGATGCTATGCTTGCTCAGACTTTTTGAAAACCTCTGCTTTGAGGTGATGGTGGTGGTGGTTATGTGCCATGGAATTGGTTACAACTCATAGCAACCCTGTAGAGGGTTTCCAAGGCTGTAAATCTTTACTGGAGCAGAACGCCTCCTCTTTCTCCCACGGAGCAGCTGGTAGTTTCGAACTGCTGACTCTGAGGTTAGTAGCCCGATTCGTAACCACTACGCTACCAGAGGAGCATTTCAACAATTTGACCAGCAAAACCCAGTGTAAATTCATGAAACTTTGGATTCATTGCCTATTTCAACAATTTCTATAGAAGTCTAAGAAAGAGTCAAAAAGTATTGATTACTTAAAGGTTCCAGTTCAAACATGCATGGGTTTATTCCAAACAAAACAGGTTTGAACATGTGTCTGCAATCAGTGGATGGCTGGCACTTAGTTCTTTTTATAGTACACGTGTCTTAGTCTTCTTGTTAAGTGCTATAGAGTCAGTTTAGACTCATGGTGACCCTGCATAGGGTTTCCAGCGAGTGGCTGGTCGGTTTGAACGGCTGGCCTTGCGGTTAGCAGTCCAGTGCACATCCTACAGCGTTATAATTATTGTTACTAAATAAGGTCGAGTTAATTCTGAATCATAGCAGCCCTGTATAGGGTTTCCGAGGAGTGGCTGGTGAACATGAACCGTCAACCTCGTGGTGCCGCACCAGGACTCCTGGTGCCATAAAAAAAAAAAAGGTCCAATTAAAACAGTGAGGGGATTTGTTAGGCCACTTAGAGTCCATGAAGAGGCCAACTTGGTAGGCTATGGTGACTGTTGACTGGTATCCCAAGAGGTCATCGTGATAGGTTTTCTTGAAGGACACAGGGTGATCCTGGGGGCTTGTTATGAAGAAGTGGTGGTACAGCGGGTTAAGCATGCTGCTCACCTGAAGGTGAGAGGTTTGAACCCATCTGTGAGGCAGTCAGCTTCTGTAAAGATTTACAGCCTTGGGACTCCTATGGAGGGAGCAGTTCTCCTCTGTCCTAAAGGGACACAATGCGTTGGAATTGCCTCGAAGGCGGCAGATTTACATTTGAGTTTATGAAAATTGGGAACTGCATTGGCAAAAAAGACCAGGAAAGTTATGTTTAGGATATTTTCTTTTTCTTGCTTCTCTTTTTAACTGTCTTCCCCACCACTCAAGTTAGCATGGGCTTATAGTCTTCCCAGTGAATAATTCTCCCTTCCTCCCACTCAGGTCATCGGCATAGACTGTTTATTATAGAATGAAAACTTTTTCTGGACTTTTCATAGTAGTGGCCTCATACAATAGCTGTCCCTTTGGGAATGACCAATTTCACTCAGCATAACGTCCTCCATGTTCAGTTGTGTATATGTACCAATGTTGGTTCAACCATTTCTCTGCTGATAGGTATCTAGGCTTTCCCAGAAGGGTTTGTTTTCTGTTTCCCATCACAACAATGCTTCTCATTCTTAGAGGGTAGCAAGGGGTCTCCTAGGAGAATTTCACTGGGGGACCTTATCCCACCTACCCTACAGCCCTGATTTTACCCCTACAAACTTCTTTTTGTTCCCCAAACTCAAAAAAATCTTGAAAAGGAACATAATTTTTAGTCTTTTGAGGATGTCCAAACTTGTTTTTTTTGATGTGGTATGAAGCTCTGGTAGCGTAGTGGTTACGAATCGGGCTGCGAACCATAAGGTCAGCGGTTCGAAACTACCAGCTGCTCCGCGGGAGAAAGATGAGGCTTTCTACTCCCGTAAAGATTTACACCCTCGGAAACCCTGTACAGGGTCGCTATGGGTCGGAACCGACTCGATGGCAAACAACAACAACAACAACATGAATTGAAGAGCACGTAGTTCTTTGGGGGAGGGTTAGAGAGATGGAAATACCATCTTCAAAAACAACAACAACAACACAGAAACACCGTCTTCAGAGGAATATAGACTTTGATGGAGGAGATATCTAGAAACAATAGCTTCACATTTTGATATTTTGTTTAACAGTGGCTTTTATGACTTGGTAGCCATACTTGTACCTACCTTTATACATTCAGGAAGCATCTGTGAACTAATTGCTATGGGTCGGAATTGACTTGACTGCACTTAACAACAACAACAACAATAGGGTATCAGTAGAGGACCCATTTGGTCAGTGGCCTCAGTTTCCCCCAGGAAACGAGTGTTTTTTATTCAGATGTCACGTTGGGGTGGGAATAAGGATAATGGTGTTGCAGATTGCTGTTTGAGCCTTTAAAAAAATTATTATTCAGAGCGACCCCATGTGACAGAATAGAATTGTCCCATAGGGTTTTCCCAGCTCTCATCTTTACTGAAGCAGATGGCCAGGGTTTTCTCCCAAGGAGCCTCTGAATAGGTTTGAACGACTGACCTTCTGGTTAGCAGCCAAGTGCTTAACTACTGCACCACCAAGCCTCCCTGGGGATGAGACGAGGACAGGAAAAAGGGAAGAAACCCTTCCTTGTCCATTCTCAAAAACACTGTGGCTAAAGAAACAAGTATCATGGTGGACATTGGAGCTGGCTCTCTGTGTCCATGGAAGTGAATGGTGAAAGCCAAACTTCCTTTTTCTATGGAAAGTTGGCTTTCTTAAGATAGCGACAAACTTGACCCTTCTCTCCCATTAAACAGGTGCCATGTTCAACTTTGGCGTGATTCCAGATGCATGTTTGCCTTTTGAAATCAATATTTTGATTTTAGTTCTACTTTCTTGCTCTTCTTGAGTCCAAGTTACCATCTTGAATGGACTAGAGGTGCCCCAGGACCAATGGTAAACCTGACCCTTCCCCAGGGGCAGAGACATGAACCCTGGAACCCACCAGGCCTTGTTTCGGTCTCACTACCGTTTGCACGTTCGTTTCTTTGGACTGCCAGGGTCATGAAGGGAGTGGTGTCTCCATCAGAAATTGATTGTCTTCCAGTCATAAGGCTGGGAATCCAGGATGTCTCCAGGGCCATGTTCTCTCGGAAGGCTCTCTTGGAAGATCCTTGGTCTCTCAGCTTCTGGTGATCCTAGATGCTCCTTGACTTGGAGATACCTCTTCACCTGGCTGTCTTCCCTGCGTCTCTTCTCCTCTTTTATAAGGACACCACTCAGGTGGAACAGGGCACATCCTGCTTCAATATGACCTCATGTTCACTAACAATAACCCCGAAAGCCCCATTTCCAAACCAGATCACATTTATAAGTACTGGCACTGAGGACTTTAAGATACCTTTTGAAGGATCCCAGTTCAGCTCGTAATGATTTGGTTCTTGTCTCTCTTTGCAGGAGAGCTTGAGCGGTGCACATATATCAAGTACCACTACTCCTCAGCCACCATCCCCAGGAACCTCACCTTCAACATCACGAAGACCATCCGTCAGGACGAGTGGCATGCTCTGCGTAAGTACAGCGTGTCTCCTGCTTGGCTACGCCCATGCCGCTGAGCTGGCCTTTCTCGGGATGGAAGTACCGTCTACACTGGGTCTAGACCCAGGTGTGTGGGAGGTACCTCCTTGTGGGATCTGCGGATAGTCTCAGAGCAGAGTCTCAGTTTCTTGAAGTGACAATGTATGTGGGTCGGAATTGCTTCAATTGCCTTTGGTTGTGTTATAGATTTGAGAAATTTACGTCTTAGAAAAATACCATGCATATGTATACATTTGTATACACAAAAAATATGTATACACACTAATATGCATATATATATAGCTGCTGTGTGGGAGAAGGATATAGCTTCTGCAAAGATTTGAAGCGTCAGAAACCCTGTAAGGGTCACTATGAGTGTGCACCGACTCCACAGCACTTAACAACAAGTGCATCTATAGATACACTTACATATACATGACATGTAATATACATGTTGTTACACATACATGACATGCAATATACATGTTGTTACACACACATGACCCGCAACACACACGTTGTTACACATACATGACCTGCAATATACACGTTGTTACACATACACGACATGTAATACACATGTTGTTACACATACATGACACGCAATACACAGGTTGTTACATATACATGGCATGTAATACATGTTGCTACATATACATGACATGTAATATACATGTTGCTGTTGTTGGTAAGTGCCGCTGAGTCGGTTCTGACTCACAGCAACCCCATATAGGGTTTCTGAGGAGCAGCTGATGAGTTTGAACCATCAACCTTGAGGTTCAAATTTACATCGCTGTTGAGTGCTTATCCTATAATGCCACACCAGGACTCCACATGTATACACATACATGCGTATGCACATATATGTTGCTGTTACATTGTATATATATAAATATGGAGTCCTGATGTGACACTGTGGGATACAGCCCTGGACTGTAAGGTCGGCGGTTCGAACTCACAAGCTGCTCCTTGGAAACCCTAGACAGAATTGCTATGGGTTGGAACCGAGTTGAAAACATTTAACAACAACAACAACCATGTATACACAAACACATATACTCACATGCATATGGACACACACATGCATACATGTTCTCTATATATACACATACAGACACACATATGTATACACACAATGTATGCACATATACATATATGCATACACCTATATACACACATGGAGTCCTGGTGTGGTGCTGTGGGTTAATATGCCAGACTGTAAAGCTGTTTGAACTGCAAGGTTGGCAGTTCAAGCTCACCAGCTACTCCTTGGAAATCCTATACAGGGTCGCTATGGGTTGAAATCGACTCGACTGCACTTAAAAACATCCACAACATATACACACATGCATATATAAATGCACACATATATACAGACACACTTACATATACACACATATGCACATGTATACATATATATACACCTAGCAGTTAAACAGTAATCTCATTTCACTAGCCTGGGAGGCAGCTGAGATATCACCTGTCGGACTAAACCAGCTCTTGGGGTTAACTTCCCCTTGTCTCCAGGTTGCTTGGAATTCTGTTGTGGAAACCTGGGAGTCCCTGGTGGTGTTCCTTGGACAGGTTGTGTGGCTCAGGGACCTGGCATCTAGGTGATGGCTGAGGGTGGGGTCTGGTCTATTTCCCCTGGAGTGACAGGCATGGGGCCTGCCCACATGGGATGACTCAGCACAGAACCGGAGCCATGCCTGTTGCTCAGGGAATGTCTTGACCTTAAGAGAGTTCAGTGATGATGAACGCGTGATTGAAGGTGCCTACAGGTCAGGTGGCTATTTTTCCTCTTTAGCTCCACGGCGATACAGCTGCCCGACTGTGTCCGGGATTTGTTCTCTATGGCTGCATGGTGATTCCTTCTGGCACTTTCTGGCTGCCCTAAGCCCTGGCTGTCTCCTGCTGCTTTCAACACAACAGCCACAATCTAGCTTTTCTTCATGGAATGTTGCATATTTAAGACAGTCCAGACTTCCTTGCTCACTAGGGGTTTTCTTTAATATCCTGATTTCTTGATTATCAGGATGCCTTAATTGGTAAGCTCTAAAGAAGGTGACTCTTTGGACTAGAGACATTTGCCTTCTTGTCACCGTTGCCTACTTTTCTTGTATATGTGCTGAGCCTTCCTGGGTGGTGGTGGTGACTGTGTGCCGTGGAGTCGGTTCCGACTCATAGCGACCCTGTACAGGGTTTCTGAGGCTGTAAATCTTTACAGGAGCAGAACGCGTCATCTTTCTCCTGTGGAACAGCTGGTAGTTTCGAACTGCTGAACTTGAGGTTCGATGCCCGATTCATAACCACTTTAATCAAGCAACCACAGCCTGATGGTGGGCTGTCCCAAGAAGGGAGAATAGGACAAGTAAAACAGACCACCACCACCAAAAATCCTTCATTGGATTTTTGTGTTTCAGACACAAATGTGTGTGGCCAGGTCTCCTGGTGTTTGTGGCTACAGACCAGGTCAGTGATGGAAAGAGACCCCTCCAGAACTTTCTCCATTAAGGAGGCATCTCTGAACCTGGGCTCAGACAGAGAGCAGTGCTTGAAAGAAAGACAGCGTGGCAGACCACACTCTTCCTTGACATTCACATGAACTTTGTTTTAGACACACTCATGGCCAACGTGACTGATTTCCTTGTGGAGACAGACATGTGAGACGCTAATGTATGACCATAGAGCAAGGACTGCTCATTTCCCACAGTGCGTTGGTCCAGGGTCATTGCTTCAATAGAAGCAGAAGAGTAATCTTCAAGATACAAGATACGTTCGTTCTGTTGAACCATTGCAAGGGAACTTAGGCTGTCAGACTCCTGGAGTGGTGCCGGAGGAGCAACACTGGACGGCAAACCACAAGGTCCATGATTCAAACCCACCAGCTGCTCCTCAGAAACCCTGTACAGGATTGCTATGAGTCAGAACCAACTCGACAGCACTAAACAACAACAAGGGAGTTGCTGTTGAGTTAGTTCTGGCTCATGGTGACCTCAGGTGTATCAGAGTAGAACTGTGCTCCACAGGGTTTTCAGTGGATGATTTTCCTAAGTAGATTCCACTCATGGTGCCCCCGTGTTTGTCGGAGGAGAACTGCCCTCTATGACTGGTGTTTTGTAAGCACATTTATAGGTCTTTCTTCTGAGGTATCTCTGAGTGCACTTAGACCTTCAGTCTTGCCATTAATGGTGGAACATGTTAGTCATCTCCCCACCAGGGACATTTCTGACCTGTGGGGATCATACTAGGATCAGAATCTAAAAAGGAAGAAATTACTGACATAGCAGCTGTTTTAAAATGAATTGGATTCGACCAACTGTACCGAGTTTTTCTCCGTTCTAGACATGTAGTGGGTAGAGATGGCACAGGGAACTTTTGAAGGAGCTCAAGTCTGGGGAGTAGGAGGGTGGGGGGTGGACAGATAAATTCACAAAGCAAGTAATTACAAGGCAGTGCAATAATTACAATATAGTATAATTGCAGCAAACAATTAAGAGAGTTTGTGAACATTTTTCATCAAGAAGGAGAATTATTTTACTGTAAACGGCATGCTTGCGTTGGGGAAAGTCTGGTAGAACTCTTTGTTGTTGTTGTTGGGTGGGTGCTGTAGGGTCAATTCCAGCTCATAGCAACCCCATGTGACAGAAAAACACTGCCCCACTGGATTTCCTAGGCTGTCATCTTTATGGGACCAGAACGCTAGGTCTTTTTTTTCCAGTGAGTGGCTGGTGGATTTGAACTACCAATGTTTTAGTTAACAACTGAACACTTAACTGTTGCCACATCAGGTCTCCTTGTTCACTCTGTTGTTGTTGTTAAGTGCCGTCGAGTCGGTTCTGACTCATAGTGACCCTATATAGGGTTTCCGAGGCTGTAAATCTTTACGGGAGCAGAACGCCTCATCTTTCTCCCACGGAGCGGCTGGTAGTTTCGAACTGCTGGCCTTAAGGTTCACAGCCCGATTCGTAACCACTACTCTACACTCTGTAGGTATCTGGAATCCAATTGGATTGCTCCACCATGAAGATGGCATGGTGGTGGTGTGCTGTGGAGTCGGTTCCAACTCATATGACCCTGTATAGGGTTTCCGAGGCTATAAATCTTTATAGGAGCAGAAAGCCTCCTCTTCTGTGGAGTGGCTGGTAGTTTCAAACTGGTAACCTTAAGGTTAGCAGCCCGGCTCATAACCACTATGCTACCAGAGTTCTTTGAAGGTGGCATTGTTGTTGTTAGGTGGTGCCATCGAGTCAGTACCAACTCATAGCGACCTTATGCACAACAGAATGAAACAGTGCCCGGTCCTGAGCCAACCTCACAATTGTTGCCACACTTGAGCCGATTGATGCTGCCACTTTCCAAATTCATTTTACTGGGGGGTCTTCCTCTTTTTCTCTGACCCTCCACCTTACCAAACATGATATCCTCTCCAGCGACTGGTCCTTCCTGACACTATGTCCGAAGGATGAGAGATGAAGGTTGGCCATCTTGGCCTCCAAGGAGCACTCTGGCTGCACTTCTTCCAAAACAGATCTGTTGGTTCTATGGGCAGCCCATGGCACTTTCAATATTCTCCTCCAACGACACACCATAGTGAGTTAAAAATTGGGCTATTCACCAAAATGTCAGTGGTTCAGCTCCTCAGGAGTAAGATAATGCAGTCTGCTTCTGTAAAGATTTGCAGAGTACTCTGTCCTTCAGCTTCTCTGTGAGTCAGAATCGAGTGGGGTACCCTGTCATGGTGCCACTAGCATCGACGGGGTGTGAAGTCATGACGGGTGTGTTGGAATTTGAGCTTGTGCCCCTCCAGTGTTGTTGTGCCCGAGCCGTGCCAGGGTGCCAAGGGATAAATACATTCTGCCTGCTGGTTTAGGAGATGGAGGTAGGTACAAGGCACTGGGTGAGGCTGAGGCTGCCCTTAGTGAGAAATTCATCTGCACCCCTTCTCAGGATCCCCTAATGGGCGGTTAAGCGGGCGGAGCCCATTTGCCACT